CTGATTTGATGTAAGGATCAGGATTCTAGATGGGATATTGGTTGACTGATAAAATTAAATCAGTTTCATTTTGTCTATTTTGATCGAGCTGGTAAGATATCAGTTCATACGAATATAACGGATCACGAGACGGCTTAGATGGATGCAAAGTGTGAATAATAACACTTGTTATTACCAAGGTAGTTCAGGAGGTCAATTTTGAATATTGGAGCTGACCTTAGAAAATGTGTTACCTTACTCAGATGGAGTTTAAGGTACTGGAGGAGGAGTTAGTAGTTTCTATAAATAGTGATATGACTGTCGGGCGACTGAGATGGAAATTTATAATTTTTCTTGGTACACCCAGACGGTTAAAAGGTACATCACGACATCAAATGTCAGTTTTGGTGTACAGGTACGGATAGGGACGTGTATATAATTGCCCTAAGTGTAAAACCTGCTACAAAGGTGGAAAGTTGATCATCGGATATCGTAGGAATCTTTAGCCACTTCTTATAACAAATATGGAAGTTGAATTAAATAGGAGTGACGATCGATGGGAAGGATCGACATTGATTTGGAATTTCAATTTTCCATATGGAATCTGAGTGGTGGATTGAGAAAGATCGCTTGAGGACATAAATTTGAGTGATACTTATTTTAGAACTTCATAGTAGTTCTATAGTTCAATGATAGTGGTGTTATAGCATGTGGATGTCCATATTAGTGGATGCAGAGTGCTATTTCGAAGGAGCTTTATGAAGATTTTGGAGCAGCAGCTCTACTTCATATCTATAGACGGAGGACTTAATCGAGAGATTAAATTAGACCATAAAGGATATGTTTGAGGTGTATATCCTAGATTTTCATAGACAGTTGGAAGTGTTTACTTCACTTGTCGGAAAAGTCAATTTTACTTATTACATTGATTTTTGGAGAGGATTGTGTTTCGCAATTAAGGCAGTTACCTCTAAATTAGCGTTACCAAATTATTAGCGCTGGGTGCATAGGAGTTTGTGTGTATATTTTATGGCCCTTGGAGGTATGTAGATCATTCCCTTGTCGAAATGGGAGGATTACGTTGTTATTTGATACAACTTATGTATTGTATGATTATTGTATTTCTTAAAATATAGAAACCTGTATACCACTTGGTATATTAGAGTTAAGTGGAGCCCTCATAGTGAGGTTGCGTCTACTTGGGAATATGAGGATGTTTTTCGCTCACAGTTTCCAAGCATAATGGAAGAATAATGAAAGGAAATAAGGGCGAATTCCGAGGACGGAATTCCTTTTGTTAGGAGAAAAGAATGTAATACCCCTAATTTTAAAAGGATAGTAATTTTAAAAGGATAGTCTCGGTATTTATTTATTTATTTTTATTATTATTTTTTAATTGTTTAATTGATTATTTGACTAATTGTTTATGTGTTTAATTGAATTAAGTGTTACTTGATTAATTGGCTACTTATCTATGTGTTATTTGTATTTTGTCTAGGTGTTATTTGTATTATTTGTTTAATTAGATTGTGCGCTTAAATGATATATTTGATTAATTGTAATTAATTATAAATTAAATGATTAAATGTTTTATTTTATTTTATTTTATGGTTATGGTTAGTGGTAATAGGCTAACTAATTGGGTCCCATGGACTACTTGGATAGGAGGTTGGATGGGTATGGATAATTACCCATGGATAGTTGTATATCTATATATATAGATATATATGTATATACATATATATAAAAGGAAAGTAATTTATTAATATTATAGTAACTTTAGTATTAATAAATAATCTGATGTATATATTTTATATATTTATATAATAAGGATATACATATATTTTATACATAACATGTTTTAAGTTACCTTTTTAATATTATGGTAACTTTAGTATAAATAAATAATCTGATGTATATATTTTATTTATTTAATGAGGATATAGATAGATTATATACGTAACATGTTTTAAGTTACCTTTTAATATTATGGTAACTTTAGTATTAATAAATAATCTAATGTATATATTTTATTTAATTAATAAGGATATATATAGATTATATACGTAACATATTTTAAGTTACCTTTTTAATATTTTTAATTTTTTTATTTTTCTTTATTAAGTTGACTTGGATTGGGAAAATGAATAGGGTTATTATTTAGCCTATAAATACACAACTATAGGTTGAAAAAGGAGTGAAAATATATCACGTAATGTATTCTAAAGAGAGAGAGTTAGAGAGAGAAGGAGAAAGAGGAAGGAATGAGGAGAAAACCCTTTAGAGAGAAGATCAAAGAAGAAGAAATTTAACTTTCAATCCGAAAGTTTAAGGCATGTTCTTCTTCTATCTCTTTCCCTTTGATTCGTGTTTCTGTACATGCCTAGGAAATTCCAGGATTTATTAAACACATAAAATTAAATAATTATGCATATTTAATTGGGTTAGAACATAGGTTTTATGAAATTGGTTCATATCTGTTCTTGTGTTATGAATTGATAAAATGTATGATTTTGATTTGATTTCTTATGTGAATTTTTACATGTTTAAATTATGTATTTTTCATATCTGTGGAATGATGGAACGTAGAAACATGCCTAAGATTCCTGAACATTAAATAGGGACTAGGTTTGGGTTTTAATAAATTTAAATAGACCCAATCATAATGATACTTACTATTTGAATGTTTTAAACAAACGAATGGATTTAATCTTTTAAAATATTTTAGCAATTGAGATTAAATGTGTAGGATGAATTGGATATGGAGAATCCTTATTTAACGGTATAATAAAATATCATCATGTATAAGATTCAGTTTGTGTAGGACATATGATATAGGAAGTTTAAAGAAATAATAAGTCATTCCTATTATGTGATAACTTGATATCATATTTATCATAGTTATTTATGGAATGTTTGATGTATTTCCTTAATTGTTACATCAATTGTTGGATTGTGTGGTTTAATGCACCGGTATGGGACGGTGGCATTCTAGGGACGGATTAACTTATTAGTTAAGTCCTACCTATTTTATATAAGGGAATGGATTAACTAAAATGTTAAGTCCTACTTATATTTAAGTCAGGTCAGCTGAACAAGTTGAATGACTTATGGATGATTAATTTATTATATAAGGGAATGGATTAACTAAAATGTTAAGTCCTACTTATATTCAAGTCAGGTCAGCTGAACAAGTTGAATGACTTATGGAGGATTAATTTATACTGAATAGGATGGTTACTAGATTATATATATATAAGTATGGTGCCATGATATGAGCTTGAGTCTCAGGATCAATGGTTAGGGCGCGTATATCGCCAGGGATGTGTAACTAGATATAGTGTAGTTGTGTACCCTGGTAGGTCTAGGTACTCATGCCCACTATACGTGCATTTTGCATGTTGCCTACTATTCAGGTTGAGACAACCCTATAGTCTAGTGAGGTTCCTTTAGTGTGTATATATATATATATATATATATACGGACTACTAGTTACTGTTGGATTGACTAGGATGTATACGTGTATCGGATCTCTACTTGGACTGTAGTAGAGTAGAACTTGTTTGTGGGCCTGACCCACCATTATTTTTCAGGTGTTCCTCACGAGTAGAGGTTGTTCGTGCTGAGTGGGGATCAGTCTACTTCATTCTTCCGATACTACATAGGAGTTCCTTTATGATTCAGTTTCCTGTTTTAGATTACTGTCATTTGTTTAGTTTGGATTTTCTAGGGGTCCACACAGTATGGATTCCCGAGTTGTATTTTGGAGGATCAGTTGTATCAGAAGAGTTTATTAATTAATGGAAATATATTATGATGTTTATTATTAGATTATCATTTTAGTTTCTTGTCAACATTTTATTTATTCTTCTTTATTCTTTTGTACTCTGTGTTCGTTTATTATTAATTTGTTTTGATATCCTCGGGTATTCGGGTGTGGGCCTGGCCAACCCGCATTCGGAAATTCGAGGGTATCACAAAGATGCCCACAAAACTACATTTCAAATGCCGATGTGGGTGTCACTTATTAAATGTTGACATGGCACGTTGACAAGTCAATACAAACCTAACCAAAGCCCTCGTGGCGATTTGAAAAGTCAAAAGTTCGAGGGACCGACCCTCGAGCACCCCAAGCCCTGGCATAGTTATTAAAAGCCCAAGGCACATCGAGGCGCTAGATGTCCCCTGAAGCCTAGGCGCGAGGCGTGAGCCTGAGTGATGTGAGGCGCACAGGTAAAATTTTAAAACAATAATTCTTAGTAAAAATAACACAATTAAACAATGAACATCCAATAATAAAACACTAAATTAGTCTAAATATATCACAATTAAACCAATAAAGCAACCCGTAAAATAGAACAATTAAACTAATAAAGCTATTTATTCATAAGAAAAATTCAAAAGAAACGAAACATAAACCAATTAACCATATATTATAAATTTATACTTGATGTCTTAAGCAAAAGCTATCATTTGACTCCAAAACAGATCCATCAAAAGATACTTAGAAGCCTACCAAATCTATAAAGTAACATAGTCAATACTTAATAGCCTACCAAATCTATAAACCAAGCAACAAAATATTAGTTTCAGTTTTGAGTTTTGACAAGGACTCCTAAAACCAAAGTTACCAAACAATCTTAAGGGACCTAAATATCATCCTCTTCACCAAACAACATAGTCTCATCATTGTCCCCATCAAAAGATTTGTAACCCTCAGCATCTTCTTCCTCTTCTGTCTCCTCGGAGTTTGCCTCGTCATCATCTATGATTCATAGTGAAGACGAGCATAAAGGTGCTGTCTTCTTTATTGCCCTTAGAGTTGATCTTGATCTTAAATTATGGCTGGACTCTCCAACCCCGGTAGCTCTAGCAACTGCACCCCATGTCAAAGAGTCATCTTCAAACACCAACTCATTTTCAGCATCTACATCTTCATCCATTACTCCAACCAACCACTCATTGTTATCATCTATATCATTTAAAAGGATGGGATTGATCCTATCACGCATGTCATATCGTCATTTTAGTGCTCTATTATACTTGATGAAAACCAAATCATTCAATCGACATTGAGTTAGCCGGTTTCTCTTCTTGCTATGAAGCTGCATTAATTCAAATAATTAATAAGTATAAGTGTATAACTATTTATAATCTAATTTTTTATCATTGAATTACTAATACTACAAACTTACATGTTCAAATACACTCCAATTTCGTTCACACCCAGATGCGCTACATATAAGGCTAAGCACTTTAATAGCAAACTTTTGCAAATTAGGAGTTATAGAATCATATGCGGACCACCAATCGGCTGTTATTTACATATTAGTAGTAAAAAATTAACAAAATTCAAATTCAAATATACTAAAAAATGATTAATTGACTTGTTTACCTGGTGCCCTTGACTTTCTTTGTCTAACAGCAATTGATGAGCCAAATAGACCATCAGCTTTCATATATCTACTCAACTCCAAAGAAATTTTATCTTGTACTTCAGTGGTTGGAACCAATCTTTCTGTACATTGATATAAACCACCCATCACCTCTTCATCTTGCTCAATATTTGGATTGCTATAAAAATATTCTGGGTTCAAGAAATGCCCAGCTACATGCAAAGGGCGATGGAGTTGGATATTCCACCTAGTATCAATGATCTTAAAGATGTCCTTATACTTCTCTTTATTCTCACCAAAAGCTGTAGCTATCGCTTCTTTAGCCCTTTCCATAGCCTCATAAATATATCCCATTGGAAGCCTTCTCTCACCATCAACCAACTTAAGTACACGAACAAGAGGGCTTGCTACTTTGAGAGTGTATACAATGCTTGTCCAAAATGTAGGCATCAACACAATCTGTGCTACATTTTTCCCTTCTATCTCTTTCGCTCATTTATTGGAGATCCATTCTTGTGAAGTGAACATCTTCCTTAAGCAATCTTTTTGATGATGGATGCTTGATAACGTGATAAATGAAGTGGCAAATCGAGTCGTTGCAGGTCTAAGCAACTCTTTATGTCCAGTACAACGCTTCATCATGCTCAACAAACTCGAACGGTTATAAATATAACCATTTAACATTATAGCTCTCTTTATGGTCCTCATTATATTTGGGATCTTAGCAATGTCCTCCAATATCAGGTCCACACAATGTGCAGCATAAGGTGACTAATACAAATGTCGGTGCCTTCCCTCCAACATTCTCCCTATTGTAAAGAAAGAAAATATGGATTAATAGAAGGCTAGAAGCAATAAACCTAAATTTCCACATCAAGTACATATTGAAATTTATACCTACCACAACATTAGAAGAGGCACTATCAGTCACTACTTGAATCATATTTGATGCTCCAATTTGCTGCACGAACTTGTTAAGCAAGTTAAACATTTTTTCTCCGGTCTTTGAATAAGAGGAAGCATCAATAGATTGAATGAACATTGTCCCTTTAGGATAATTCATCAGAAAATTAATCAAACACCTGTGTCTTTTATCCTCCCATTCATCTACCATAATTGTGCATCCGTATTTTGCCCATTCCTCTCTATGATCCCGCATTAAATTGTCTGTATGCTCCAGTTCTTTCTTGAGGAGGGGAACTCTCACCTCATGATAAGAAGGAGGTTTCATTCCTAGACCATGTTGGCCAATAGCTTCAACAACTGGTGCAAAACTCTAATAATTAAGGGCATTGAATGATATCCCAGCATCATACATCCATCTTGCAAACTGTTGACATGCTCGGTTTCTAAGTTCTTTCTTACAAGCATTATCAATTGTTGTTTGTTTACCTTTGTCATTTTTTCTATTTTGCACAACTGCTTTCGGAGGAGGGGTGAAGGACAAATCAATAGGACCTTTCTATTTTTGCTTTTTTGATTGAATATTATTGCTTCCAGTTCCACTTGCTACTCTTTTACCCTCAACATCAATAATTGTTACATCATCCTCATTTTGATCATCCATGTCATTAAAATTAGGCAACAAATTTGTGTGTTCCTTTTTTATCTTTCTTCTTGCTCATGTATTCTCTAATATCTTCTTTCACATGTTCAGGGCACTTTTTACATGCTTGTACGTTTCTATATCCCCCTACAATGTGTTACTTATAAATACCTCATTTCATAACCTTTTTCACAAAAATTACACATTACATGCTTGTACGTTTCTATATCCCCCTACAATGTGTTACTTAGCCCTATAAATACCTCATTTCATAACCTTTTTCACAAAAATTACACGTTGTTGCATTCCTAGCTTGTAGGTTTTGCAGATAACAATAATTCCAACCTAGATCCTTTGACATTTTTTCCTATCTATTTACAATGAGAAATAGAATGGAGTCAATGGACCAAGTTAAATTCAGCAAACAAGCATTCAGGTAATTCAACAAACAACATTTAGGCACAAACATTCAAAATTTAAATAATCTAGCAAATTCCAGCAAACAGAGCCCATAAAGAAGAAAAAAAAATAACACATATTTAGTCCATCATAGCACAGCAACATTTTTTTATAAAAAAAAATTTGGCATGATCAGTGACTAGATGAAGGGCATATATTTAGTCCATCATAGCATAGCAGCATTTTAGGTTAGAGAGAAGACTCAGAAAGGAGGGAAAAAAAATATAGAGGCCCTACACAAAGAAAAACAGAGACCCAGAAAAAAATTAAAATAAATAAATAAACCAGATGAGAAATAGAAGAGGAGAGGAGGAAAAAAAAAAAAAAAAAAAACCGAGCCCATAAAGAAGAAAAAAAAAAAGTCTGAGACCCTAAACAGAGCTCGAAGAAAAAGAAAGAAAAACAGAGACCCATAAAATAAATAAAAAAAAATGAAAAAACAGATGAGAGAGAGAAGAGGAGGAGGAAAAAAAAACATAGAACTCCTAAACAGAGCCGGAAGATAGATTCCAGATTCTTCTTTTTTCTTTTCTTCTCTTCTCTTTTCTTCTCTTATCTTTTTTTCTTTCTTTTTCTCTCTTCTCTTTCCCACTTTTGACTTTCCCACTTTTGATTGGGTAGTGGCATTCCACATTTTTTCTGCAGCTTGATTTTTATTGATTTGATATGTTGCCTCACAAGATGTCAAAATTCTAATTTTTTGCTTTTAAGTTTCTAAAGCTATATATATACTAAATATAATAATATAAACTACAAACAGTCAAACAAATAAAATATATGCCGCATACTACATGAGGCGCGCTTTGGCGCACCTCATACAAGCTTCAAGGCACATCCCAGGTGCTCTCCTAGTGGAGGTCGCTACGCCTGGGCTATTGTGAGGCGCAACTGCTGCGCTTGTAGGCGCCTTGAGCCTAGGCGTGCTTTTGACAACCATGAGCCCTAGTATCGCACCAGGCCCATTAAGCCTTGAGGGACCAATCCTCGAGCACCCCAAGCCCTGGTATTACACTAGGCCCATCAAGCCTCGAGGGACCAACCCTCGAGCACCCCAAGCCCTGGTATCGCTCCAAGCCCATCAAGCCTCGAGGGACCAACCCTCAAGCACTCCAAGTCATAGCACTGCACTAGTTCCATCAAGCCTCGAGGGACCAACCCTCGAGCACTTCAAGTCCTAGCATCGCACCAGGCCTATTAAGCCTCGAGGGACTAACCCTCGAGTACCCCAAGCCATGGTATTGTACCAGGCCCATCAAGCCTCGAGGGACCATGTGACGACCCTGGATTTTTCAAACCCAGTGTGTCCTATGATGACCCAAAATGAATCCAATATGCGGAAGCAAAACAGAAACATGGCCTCTAGAGAAGTACACCAACCCTAAGACACAAAAGTGGCTTCTTGAGAAGTCTCGAGGCTCAACAGAAGGAAGACCGGACTTAGGGTTTTAAAACCCTCCAAGAAATGGACCAAGGGCAAAAAGGTCATTCTAAACTGAAATGGGTGCCATCGTGCACACCATTAGAAAGACAACAAAAAATGAATGAAGTTAGACTCAAGAAACACTTGATTCGGAGTTCGGACGAGAAAGATGTGAAAATAGAACGAAACGACGTCCTCCGATTAGGAGATACCACAACCCTACAAAAAGGGTCAAATGCGCAAGTCAGTGAGGAAGGGTCGATCTGTTGATAGCCCTCGGTCGGTAGGTCTGACTTACAAGGTCGGTCGGTCTAACCTACAAGGTTGGTCGGTCTAACCTACAAGGTCGGTCGGTCGGTCTGGAGGAAAGGTTATGGCCCAAACTAAACTTTAGCTACTAGAATTGATCTCGAGCATATGTCAGCCGGCTGATGGCTCTTATCAGCCGACCGACGTAACAAACAGCAGTAAAAGCTACTGCTACAATGCGTGGGAAGGTGTTCGGTCCAACCTTAAAGCTATACATGCATTCCAAATTATCTAAAACAAGTTTTAAAACATTCTCTAGCCTCACTCAAGCATCCATATCATGCTAACTTAGAAGGAAACTTTAAGCCATACATACAAAATAAGCGTCAAAAAGTGTACTTAGGTACACATTACAAGTCCAAGGCAATGACATTTTGACCTAACTATGCATTACAACTTTAAAAGTAAAACTCAAACATGCTAACACTTACATTTGATATTGTATAAGTTTTGAACTTATTGATTTTGGAAAGCTTGTGAGGGCATACTTTATGTGGTGGCTAGGGTTTGGCTCTAGTACTAAGAGTCTTTTAAGTCACAAGTGCGCACTAGGTAGTACTTTGTGGGTCGTAATTACCCAAAATAACTTATACATGTGCGCACTAGGTAGTGCCTTGTGGGTCTTAATTAGTCGGAAACACTTGCTTGGTCTAACGACCGCATGTTCTAGTCTTTCCACTATTTGATTTCGCATTTAATTTCAAGTTGTTAATCATGGATTACTTGTAGCGTGAGAATTGATGCTTACTTTGGATATTTGAATCCTATTTAGTATACTTGAACTTGTATACTTTCTCTGTGAGTTTAAATTTCATTTAATATGCTTGTGCCGTGTATACTTGTCTTATGCGAATTTCGTTTAGCTTAGTATACTTGTGTTGGTATACTTGATGCATGAGCACTCTATATATATTAAATACTTGTGTATGTATGCTAGATATTGCTTATCTCGTTTAATATGGCTTAGTATACTTGAAAGTGTATGCTTGTATGTTGTACATCGTGTTTTAACATTGTTTAGTATACTTAAGCATGTATACTTATATGTCGTAGTTCATTTCAATTGCTAGTATAGCTTGAGATGATCCCTTAGTTTCACTTTTGACATAGACGTTAGGTGGCATGACCTTTTTGAATTGTCTCACGTTAATGTGATAACTTTATAAAAAGTTAGGTCTATGCATGCTCATTCCCTACGAGTAATACGGTTTACTCAACCCCTCGCTGAATGCGACCTGTTTCAGGTAAGAAGACGTGGTTCCGGGATGCACAATATCCCTAGGTCTTTTCAATGGATCGAAGTTCTTTTAAATGTATTCTTATTCACATGCAAGTGTTAGCATGTTTAAGTTTTACTTTTAAAGTTGTAATGCATAGTTAGGTCAAAATGTCATTTTTTGCCTTGGACTTGTAATGTGTACCTAAGTACACTTTTTGACGCTTATTTTGTATATATAGCTTAAAGTTTCCTTCTGAGTTAGCATGATATGGATGCTTAAGTGAGGCTAGAGAATGTTTTAAAACTTGTTTCAAATCATTTGGAATGCATGTATAGCTTTAAGGTTGGACCGAACACCTTCCTATGCATTGCAGCAGCAGTTTTTACTGCTGTCTATTACGTCGGTCTGTTGATAAGAGCCATCAGCGGCTGACACATGCTCGAGATCAATTCCAGTAACTAAAGTTCAGTTTGGGCCATAACCCTTCCTCCAGACC